CGCTATCAGAGGGATTGAGTTGGCCTTCACATTGTTTGTGGCTCTGGTCACTGAATGTGGCTTGTGGTCTGAAGGACTGTGGGTCTTGTTTGCGCTATCAGAGAGATTGATTTGGCCTTCACACATTGTTTGCGGCTCTGGTCAGTGAATATGGCTTGTGATCTGAAGGACTGTGTGTCTTGTTGACGCTGTCAGAGAGATTGAGTTGGCCTTCACACATTGTTTTGTAAACTTCAATAGATGGCTGAGATATAAAGTATAGCCCCACGGCGATAGCGTGCATGATGGAATCTGCTACTAACACCACACTTGAAGGAAGTTATGTCAATTTAAGCTAAAAATGGTCAACCAAAGTTCCATCAACAAAAATTCAAAACCAAGGTCAATATTTTATGGGGTGCAAATAGGTCAATTTGAACTTTCTAGCAACTTCAATGATGCATATATACCTACCCAGTAGGTAATAACCCTCTCACCACTGTGGACCAAAATGGACTCATCCAGCTAAATGTATGGTAGAGTCTACTAAAGTTACCTAGGGGTGAAAGGGTTAATATACAACTACACTTTCACCAGTGTCATAACACTCATTATGTAAATTAAGTTAAAAACACTGAAAAGGCGGTTGACTATGATTCCATTTAACTTCTACAGACTAAAAACACAAGAAAAAACACCAAAAAATAACCCTAACCACATAGTGCCCTGCCTGATGACTCCAGACAAGCAACAAATGAGAGCTCCCCAGTCTGCATGCAGGGTATACCTGGGTATCACTACCTTGAGGACCCTAGTGAGCTCCTTATAGATCAGGCCAGAGATTGTACAACACCACCATAGCGCGCTAGTGTATACCAGGATATCATTCACTCATTCACCCCTAAAATTTCATAATGAACTATTCCAATCTCTGAACTGGAAGAGTTCAAATGTGTCTTCAAGGGTGAATGAGTTAAAGCAAATCCTAGCGTTTATACCAGAGGATACCAAGCTTCCTCAGTGAATACTATGGCTAGGCTATACAAATGCAGCAAAGTTTTACATAGCCAGCATATCCATGTGTATATACTACCAGTGTAAGCCAACGTATACCAGGACAGCAAGGTTTTACATAGCCAGCATATCCATGAGTAAATACTACAAGTGTAAGCTAACGTATACCAGGACAGCAAGGTTTTACATAAGCCTTGGATGTTCCAAAATCTAGCCAGTGCTCACAGTAAAATACGTGACAAACAACTCCAGATAAATACCCATGAAACCAATCCAAGGTCAGTCACAAACCTCCAATCCCCCAATAGCTACACATTAAACCTCCAATCCCCCAATAGCTATACTCATTAACCCTCCAATCCCCCAATACCTACTCATTAAACCTCCACTCCCCCAATAGCTACACACATTAAACCTCCACCCCCCCAACACCTACACATTAAACCTCCACACCCCCAATACCTACACATTAAACCTCCACTCCCCCACATCCTACCCATTCAACTCCCAATCCCCCAAAACCTACACCTTAAACCTCCAATCCCCCAACACCTACACATTAAACCTCCAATCCCCCAATAGCTACTCATTAAACCTCCAATCCCCCAATAGCTACACATTAAACAGTCACAAACCTCCAATCCCCCAATAGCTATACATTAAACTTCCTATCCCCCAATAGCTACACATTAAACTTCCAATCCCCCAATAGCTACACATTAAACAACCAATCACCCAATAGTTATACTCAATAAACCTCCAATTCCCCAATAGCTATACTAATTAAACCTTCAATCCCCCAATAGCTATACTCATTAAACCTACATTCCCCTAATAGATACTCATTAAACCTCCATTCCCCTAAAAGCTACACATTAAACCTCCAATCCCCCAATAGCTTCACATTAAACCTCCAATTCCCCAAAAGTTATACTCAGTAAACCTCCAATCCCCCATTAATTACTCATTAAACTTCCAACCCCACAATAGCTACTTATTAAACCTCCAATCCACCAATAGCTACACATTAAACCTCCAATCCCCCATTAGCTATACTCATTAAACCTCCAATTTCCCAATAGCTATACTCATTAAACCTCCAATCTCCCATCAACTACACATTAAACATCCAATCCCCCAATAGCTACACATTAAACCTCCAATCCCCAAATAGCTACAAATTAAACCTCAAATCTCCTAATAGCTACACAATTATATAAACCTCCAATCCCACAATAGCTACTCATTAAACCTCTAATCCCCCAATAGCTATACTCATTAAACCTCCAACCCCCCATTAACTACACATTAAACCTCCAATCCCACAATAGCTACACATTAAACCTCCAATCCTACAATAGCTACACATTAAACCTCCAATCCTACAATAGCTACTCATTAAACCTCCAATCCCCCAATAGCTATACTCATTAAACCTCCAATCCCCCAATAGCTACACATTAAACCTCCAATACCCCAATAGCTACACAATAAACCTCCAATCCCCCAATAGCTACACATTAAACCTCCAACCCTACAATAGCTACTCATTAAACCTCCAATCCCCCAATAGCTATACTCATTAAACCTCCAACCCCCCATTAACTACACATTAAACCTCCAATCCCACAATAGCTACACATTAAACCTCCAATCCTACAATAGCTACACATTAAACCTCAAATCCTACAATAGCTACTCATTAAACCTCCAATCCCCAAATAGCTATACTCATTAAACCTCCAATCCCCCAATAGCTATACTCATTAAACCTCCAATCCCCCAATAGCTAAACAATAAACCTCCAATCCCCCAATAGCTACACAATAAACCTCCAATCCCTCAATAGCTACAAATTAAACCTCCAATCCTGTAATAGCTACACATTAATTCTCCAATCTCCCAATAGCTACACATTAAACCTCCAATCCCCCAATAGCTACACAATAAACATCCAATCCCACATTAGCTACACAATAAACCTCCAATCCTCCAATAGCTACAAATTAAACCTCCAATCCTGTAATAGCTACACATCAAACCTCCAATCCCCAAATAGCTACACATTAAACCTCCAATCCCCAAATAGCTACTCATTAAACCTCAAATCCCCCAATAGCTACACAATAAACCTTCAATCCCCCAATAGCTACTCATTAAACCTCAAATCCCCCAATAGCTACCCATTAAACCTCCAATCCCCAAATAGCTACACATTAAACATCCAATCCCACAATAGCTAATTATTAAAACTCCAATCCCCCAATAGCTAAACAATAAACCTCCAATCCCCCAATAGCTACACATTAATCCTCCTACCCCCCAATAGCTCCACAATAAACAGTCACAAACTTCCAATCCCCCAATAGCTATACTCATTAAATCTCCAATCCCTCAAAAGCTACACATTAAACCTCCAATACCCCAATAGCTACACAATAAACGTTCAATCCCCCAATAGCTACTCTATAAACATCTGATCCCCCAATAGCTACTCATTAAACCTCAAAACCCCCAATAGCTACACAATAAAACTCCAATCCCTCAATAGCTACACATTAAACCTCTAATCCCCCAATAGCTACACGTTAAACCTCCAACCCTACAATAGCTACTCATTAAACCTCCAATCCCCCAATAGCTATACTCATTAAATCTCCAATCCCTCAATAGCTACACATTAAACCTCCAATCCCACAATAGCTACACATTAAACCTCCAATCCCCCAATAGCTACTCAATAAACATCTGATCCCCCAATAGCTACACATTAAACCTCCAATCCCCCATTAACCACACATTAAACCTCCAATCCCCCAATAGCTACACATTAAACCTCCAACCCTACAATAGCTACCCATTAAACCTCCAATCCCCCAATAGCTATACTCATTAAACCTCCAATCCCTCAATAGCTACAAATTAAACCTCCAATCCCACAATAGCTACACATTAAACCTCCAATCCCCCAATAGCTACACAATAAACCTCCAATCCCACAATAGCTACACAATAAACCTCCAATCCTCCAATAGCTACAAATTAAACCTCCAATCCTGTAATATCTACACATTAAACCTCCAATCCCCAAATAACTACACATTAAACCTCCAATCCCCCAATAGCTACTCATTAAACCTCTGATCCCCCAATAACTACACAATAAACCTTCAAGCTCCCATTATCTACTCAATAAACATCTGATCCCCCAATAGCTACACATTAAACCTCCAATCCCCCCAATAGCTACACAATAAACTGTCACAAACTTCCAATTCCCCAATAGCTACACATTAAACCTCCAATCCCCAAATAGCTACACATTAAACCTCCAATCACCCCATAGCTACTCAATAAACATCCGATCCCCCAATAGCTACTCAATAAACATCTGATCCCCCAATAGCTACTCAATAAACATCTATTCCCCCAATAGCTACTCAATAAACATCTGATCCCCCAATAGCTACACATTAAACCTCCAATCCCCCAATAGCTACACATTAAACCTCCAATCCCCCAATAGCTACACAATAAACAGTCACAAACTTCCAATCCCCCAATAGCTATACATTAAACCTCTAATCCCCCAATAGCTATACTCATTAAACCTCAAATCCCCCAATAGCTACACATTAAACCTCTAACCCCCATTAGCTACACATTAAACGGTCATTTCTGTTCACTTTACTTCTATATATAAGAAATTTTAAATGAGACAGTTTAGGTGGAGTAATAATTACAAGGTCAAAACATTATAATGAACTCCTGTATGAAGTGTTTCAATAACAAGTTCATGCATCAAAGACTGGTTTTATACTTGTGTTGTGGTTATACACATGTATGACCAATAGGAATAGGAAAATGGAGTTCTTGCGACAAGGACAGAATGTTCAGAATGTTTACTACAGAACAGCTGTGCTTGATATGAAAATACAATACTGCTATAACTAGAAGCCATGGAACATTCAAAAGAGACAAGGCGTAAACAAAAAGATAATCCTCACCATTTTGTTTAATGTGTCAAATTGCTAAAGTCACGTAATCAAATATTTAAATTAATATTGTATTACATGTATTTCAAAACATAACTTCAGTATCAAGTTTACAGGTTAAGGAGGATTTCAGTAACAAACTTTACAGGTGTGAGACTCATCAAGTGTATTTCATACTTGGATACTTTATGATACATGATATCTGAGATATCTAAGCTGTCCATATTGTAACAACGTTTAATTTGAAGTACAAAACATGTACATATATACTTATCACTATGTATCACAGCCTCTATATATCTTAATCTGACACTTACAAGAATATATAACATGCAGCCGACCTTAACCAAACATAAAATGTTATCTCTCAGGTGACACACTAAACACTCCTGTAAGTGTAAACTTTAGATTAATGTTCATTGTTACAGGTGTGTAAGTAGATATATACATACCTTGGTGATCAAACCTTTGAATCGATTCTGTTCAGTAAGAGATGCACCTGCAGATCGTACAAAATATTAAATAGATCATAAAATAACAAATATTCATCATTAAGAAATAAAATATTTTGAACTGTTTCCTACGAGGTGGTAAATCAAACTAATCACTTATAAAGGAGATATATAAGTGCTATCACAAGCAGAAATAAGGTTAAATAACGAATATTCAAATCAGGCATATTTCTTCAAATCTTTAATCTTTGCATTAAGAAGATGTCCTTCATCTTGCATTATAATTTTACATTGAAAGAATGCCAGATTTTACCTACCCTTATTGAGTGTTGCATTGCTAGTATCTGTATGAACCGGACCTCTCGGTGGGGGTTCTTGTGGGGGATCAAGGTAGCGTCGATTTGGAACCTCTGGTGGGGCAGCATCCTTTGAGCAATCATATATATATATATTTTTATAACTTGTTTCAAATGCATGTACTTGTATATGAATATATATCCTCAAACCACCAGGCTAGGACTAAAAGTAACCTTTATTGAGTATTACACCATACAATCTTGATAATGCTATTTTTAATGAAAGTGTAAATTATAATTTTCTTAAAGTTGGAATTAATCATAAACTTGGGAGAAAACTGCTTAAACGTATTTTGGATGGTAGTAGAATTTTGGTACATATATATGTTTACTCCTAGTACCATGAAATATAGACAAACCTGAGTTATGTGACATTCAACATTGTAGTATATATATTCTTTGAGACTTAGACATTACAATGTATTATATAACAAGAGGCCCATTGGGCCTTAACGGTCACCTGAGTCCTACAGTATTATTTTTTGTTGTTGAAATATGAAGTGGAGATAATGATGTCAATCATCCCTACCAAAATTTTAGTAAAAAAAAAAAGTTAAGTATAACTTTAAGTTAAGTTTGTCAGGACCATGAGTTGATCATTCCTACCAAATTTCAAGGAAATTGTCCCAGTAGAATTTGACTTTAAGCTAGAAATAGTTTTTTAAAATGGCAGCTTTGACAGCCGTATTGGATTTCTGATTGACCCCAAAAATAACAACACTTTGTCAAGAACATAAGTTGATCATTCCGACAAAGTTTCAGCTAAAGCTCAGGTGACCTAAAAAGTTGAATGCTTTAACTACCAGTCATTGGGTTACTCTAAGCCCGAAAAATATCTGTGGCTGCTTCATCGTCTATCTATAAGGGAGATAACTCCAAGTAGAACACCTCTTAGCCATTAGAACTGGTACAGCGGTGCCTTTTACCTTAAACACTGTAGTGTATACATACAGTTTATACTTACAGGAGATGAAGGATTCACCGCTACATCTGTAAAAACCATAAATACCCGGTAACAAATTACTTAAAAATATATAAAGTCATTTAATATCTCTAGATCTATGTTGAACAAGTTCTGAAATAGTTTCTGCGAGACAGCATCTGATCCAGCAACATACCGCCTCCATTAGTTCTTTATTCAAGTGTGTTATAACTTACCCAGCACCTAGATTAACTCAGTAATACACAGTGCCAGAAAAACTGATCTGCCAAGTTTGAAAACAAGACTACATACCTTGTTGTAATATATAGCAGATATATACTGTTACAGCATATATAACTTGACTTGAATTCTCAGTTTTCGAAATTCTGAATAGAATATTCAAATCAAACACATGTTACAATTGCTTCAATTCAAAACAAAGATTTCTGATTCAAACGTATTTGAAAATCCTCTAATTATAATATTGGTACTGGACCACCAGGCTATACTTACAGGAGCAGTACTGGACCACCAGGCTTTACCTACAGAAGTAGTACTGGACCACCAGGTTATACTTACAGAAGTAGTACTGGACCACCAGGCTATACTTACAGGAGTAGTACTGGACCACCACGCTAAACTTACAGGAGCAGTACTGGACCACCAGGCTATACTTACAGGAGTAGTACTGGACTACCAGGCTATACTTACAGGAGTAGTACTGGACCACCAGGCTATACATACAGAAGTAGTACTGGACCACCAGGCTATACTTACAGGAGTAGTACTGGACCACCAGGCTATACTTACAGGAGTAGTACTGGACCACCAGGCTATACTTACAGGAGTAGTACTGGACCACCAGGCTATACTTACAGGAGTAGTACTGGACCACCAGGCTATACTTACAGGAGTAGTACTGGACCACCAGGCTATACTTACAGGAGTAGTACTGGACCACCAGGCTATACTTACAGGAGTAGTACTGGACCACCAGGCTATACTTACAGGAGTAGTACTGGACCACCAGGCTATACTTACAGGAGTAGTACTGGACCACCAGGCTATACTTACAGGAGTAGTACTGGACCACCAGGCTATACTTACAGGAGTAGTACTGGACCACCAGGCTATACTTACAGGAGTAGTACTGGACCACCAGGCTATACTTACAGGAGTAGTACTGGACCACCAGGCTATACTTACAGGAGTAGTACTGGACCACCAGGCTATACTTACAGGAGTAGTACTGGACCACCAGGCTATACTTACAGGAGTAGTACTGGACCACCAGGCTATACTTACAGGAGTAGTACTGGACCACCAGGCTATACTTACAGGAGCAGTACTGGACCACCAGGCTATACTTACAGAAGTAGAACTGGACCACCAGGCTTTACTTACAGGAGTAGTACTGGACTACCAGGCTATACTTACAGGAGTAGTACTGGACCACCAGGCTATACTTACAGGAGTAGTACTGGACCACCAGGCTATACTTACAGGAGCAGTACTGGACCACCAGGCTATACTTACAGAAGTAGAACTGGACCACCAGGCTTTACTTACAGGAGTAGTACTGGACCACCAGGCTATACTTACAGGAGTAGTACTGGACCACCAGGCTATACTTACAGGAGTAGTACTGGACCACCAGGCTATACTTACAGGATTAGTACTGGACCACCAGGCTATACTTACAGGATTAGTACTGGACCACCAGGCTATACTTAAGGAGTAGTACTGGACTACCAGGCTATACTTACAGGATAAGTACTGGACTACCAGGCTATACTTACAGGATTAGTACTGGACTACCAGGCTATACTTACAGGATATGTACTGGACTACCAGGCTATACTTACAGGAGTACAGGCTGTCATCAACATTAGCAGGCTGTCCTATCACCACATCAGAGTAAGATCCATCCCCGCCCAGAATATGACCTTTAAAAGCGATTTCAGTTGGACGACTAACTTGCGAGTATACATCCTGTTGTGGGGCTTGAGTAGGTTTTGATTGACGTTTACTTGACCTCTTGATGGAGGAAGAAGACTCTTTATTATTTCTCTGAACCTCTGAATAAACGTCTCCTCCTGTACTAGGTCCACTGGGTTTCTCATCTCTTGAGTTAGTTGCTACTGAGAACAAGTTGTTGTTTGTTTCTGTAGCCGTTTTATTACTTGGCGCAGATGTCATTGCCCCGCCCACTGTGATTTTTGTAACATGTTTGCCATTGCTTGCTGGGGCTTTTGCCCCTGTTGAAGGTACATGTGTTTGTTTGACACTTGGAATAGTTTGGGTCTGTAAGACGGATTCCTTTGGAAATTTAGTTGCCAGTGGTGGGGTGCTGACTGACTTTGGCTTTTGCTTCGATGGTGCGGGAGACCAAGAAGGTCCAGAGGGTGCGGAAGTTGGTCCAGATTGTAGACCAGAGGAACCTGGTTTAGAAGGTTCATCACTTGCCACAGAATAAAAAGAGGTACCAGAGGTATCTGTTTCCACAGGACTGTCTGATTTTTTCCCTGTTATCACAGAGCCTTCTGCCTGTTTCCCTGTAAATATCGGGCCAGTTTGCTGTTTTTTAACAGGAGATAAAGGGGGGGTCATTTTCTTTATTATCTGTGGGGAAAATTTACTGCCCTGGGGTGGTGTAGATTTTGATATATTAGAGCTTTCCTCTTCTTTTACCACTACTAAATCCATATTCTCATACGAAGTAGCAGCCACGCCCACATTCTGGTACTTATGTTTCACATCTGGCTTCTTGTCCTCATTAAGATTGCCTGTCAAGCTAATGTCCTTTGAAGGTACTCCTGGTTTATCTGCGGGAGGGGCAGGTTTGGTTGTTGATGGAAGTGGAGGTTTTGGTGAAGGAGTTTGAACTATGGGCTGTAAAATATCGCCAGGTATCTCCTCCTCATTAGTTGTATACATGTTAACAGTGTCCATCAAGCTGTCATGTAAAACTTTGACTGCTGATGAATAAATATCTTCTTCGTCATCTCTGGTCGTAGAAGAATCGCTCACAGAATCGGTAACCATGTCTGTAACATGAAAACCTTATACATAAATTACACATAGAAACTAATTACACATAGAAACTAACTACACACAGAAACTAATTACACACAGAAACTTATTACACACAGAAACTAGAGAAACCAAAGCATTTATAGAAACAAATAACCAAATTACACACAGAAACTAATTACACACAGAAACTAATTACACACAGAAACTAGAGAAACCAAAGCATTTATAAAAACAAATAAATAAATTACACACAGAAACTAATTATTATTACACATAGAAAATAATTACACATAGAAACTAATTACACACAGAAACTTATTACACACAGAAACTAATTACACACAGAAACTTATTACACACAGAAACTAATTACACACAGAAACTAGAGAAACAAAAGCATTTATGGAAACAAATTAAATAAATTACACACAGAAAATAATTACACACAGAAACTAATTACACATAGAAACTAATTACACACAGAAACTTATTACACATAGAAACTAATTACACACAGAAACTTATTACACATAGAAACTAATTACACACAGAAACTTATTACACACAGAAACTAGAGAAACCAAAGCATTTATAGAAACAATTTAAATAAATTACACACAGAAATTAGAACAAGAGGCCCAGAGGGCCTGTATCGCTCACCTGAATATGTTTAAAATCAGCATGTAAACTAAGTGAAATACAATACTTGTCATGTCATCAATGGATAAGAATTTGAAAATATTGGTAAATGTTCCCTTTGGGGCCCCGCCCTAGCCCCTGGGGATGGGGCAGGAATCCTAATTTTACAAAGTAAAACTCTCATTTACCCAAGATGATTCTGACTAAGTTTGAGCAATTTTCTGCTGAAAATGGATAAAATATATACCGAAAAGTGTTATTTCCCTATATAAACTATATTAAACGTTAACCCCTCCCCAAGGGAGAACGGATAGCTCGGGGTCCTGATATTTTCAATTTAAATAAAGCCCCTGATGATCTTTCTTTCCACGTAAAGAAAATCACTGTAGTACCTCTGAGTCTGGAGAAGAAGATTTTTGAAATATTGATTAATTTTCCCTTTGGGGCCCCGCCCTGGCCCCAGGGGTTGGGGTAGGAATCCCAATTTTACAATTTTGAAGCCTCATCTACCAAGGATGATTCTGACCAAGTTTGAAAAAAATCCATCCACTGGTTCTTGAGAAGAAGTTGAAAATGTAAAAGTTTACGCACGACGCACGACGGACAACGGACAACGGACGACGGACGACGACGGACGAAAAGCGATTGGAATAGGTCACTTGAGCAAAGCTCAGGTGACCTAAAAAGGCCACTGAACACGCAGTGCATTTTCTCCATGCTTACTTAAGAAAAAGAATCTAGACGATGCCTTCGAAAGCTACAATGCTGAACTGTTGTATTCAAACCTGGCTAAATTTTACACGGAGGCTCGCGTACAAAAATCAGAACCTTTGGTTTTGTTTTGTTTTATTTTATTGTTGGAGCATATAACAAAACAGTTATGGGCTTTTGTGCTGGTAAATATGATGTGATATGAACCTGAAAGAGTGATATTGACCTCGGTTTCGCCTCAGTCAATATCACTTTTTCAGGTTCATATCACATCATATTCACCAGCACAAAAGTCCATAATTGTATAATGAGTCCCTTTTGCCTAAGGATGCTTCAGAATAAATAAGGATAATATCCCTTAATCCCTATGGTAGAAGAAGGATTATAAAGGTTTTACCTATATTTCCCCTATTGGGCCCCGCCCTTCAGCCCCCAGGGGGGCCAGACCCACTGTTTATACAAAATTGGTTCTCCTTTAACCAAGGATGCTTTTGAAATATTAAAAAAAAAAATCAAATATTGACCAAATCCTTACATTCCTACAGAGGAAGAATTTTAAAGAATAATTTGCTATGTTTCCCCTATTGGGGCCCCGCCCCTCAGCCCCCAGGGGGGCCAGACCCACTGTTTATACAAAATTGGTTCCCCTTTACCCATGGATGCTCCACACCAAATATGGACCAATTCCTGTCATTCCTATAGAAGATGGATTGTAAAGAATAATTTGCTATGTCTCCCCTATTGGGCCCAGCCCCTCAGGCCCCTGGGGGTCACACCCACGGTTTATACAAAATTGGTTCCCCTTCACACAAGGTTGCTTCAGACCAGATATGGAATAAATCCTTTCATTCCTACAGAAAAAGAAGGATCTTAAAGAATTTGCTATATTTCCTCTATTGGACCCCGCCCCTCAGCCCCCAGGGGGGCCAGACCCACGATTTATACAAAATTGGTTTCCCTTTGCCCAATGATGCTTCTGACCAAATGTGGAACAAATCCTGTCATTCCTATAGAAGAAGAAGGATTGTAAAGAATAATTTGCTATGTTTCCCCTGTTGGGCCCAGCCCCTCAGGCCCCTGGGGGGCCACACCCACGGTTTATACAAAATTGGTTCCCCTTCACACAAGGTTGCTTCAGACCAAATATGGAATAAATCCTTTCATTCCTACAGAAAAAGAAGGATGGATCTCAAAGAATTTGCTATATTTCCCCTATTGGGCCCGCCCCTCAGCCCCCAGGGGGGGCACACCCACGATTCATACAAAATTGGTTTCCCTTTGCCCAATGATGCTTCTGACCAAATGTGGAACAAATCCTGTCATTCCTACAGAAGAAGAAGGATTTTAAAGAATAATTTGATATGTTTCCCCTATTGGACCCCGCCCCTCAGGCCTCTGCAGGGACCAGACCCACAGTTTATACAAAATTGGTTTCCCTTCACCCAAGGATGCTTCAGACCAAATATGGAACAAATCCTTTCATTCCTACAGAATGAGAAGGATTTTAGAGAATTTGCTTTATTTCCCCTATTGGGCCCCGCCCCTCAGTTCCCAGGGGGCCCACACCCACCGTTTATACAAAATTGGTTCCCCTTTACCCAAGGATGCTCCACACTAAATATGGACCAACTCCTTTTATTCCTACGGAAGAAAAAGGATTTTAAACAAGAGGCCCAGGGGCCTTAATAGCTCACCTGGTATTTTATTTTTCAATTTAAAACCTGCTGAGTACCATTCAGGTTTATCAAAGGAGTACAAGTAACAAAGTTGCATCTTCCATTTATAAATATTCAATTCCCTTTGCCCAAAGATTCTCTAAAACAAGTTTGGTTAGGTTAAAATCCCTTCAACGGTACAGAAGGAGAAGGATCTTTAATGTTTTCCTCTATTTCCCCTAATGGGCCCCACTAATCTGCCCCAAAGAAGGGGAATCCACACACCTCAGTTTAAACAAAATTGATTCTTTTCTCCCTAAGCATGCTTCAGACTGCATTTGGTTTAAATCCCTTCACTTGTATAGTAGGAGAAAAAAAATCCTCTATTTCCCCTATTGGGCCCCGCTCCTATGCCGCCAGAAGGGCCACACCCTCCGTTTATACAAACTTGAGTCTCCTTTGTCCAAAGATGCTCTAGGACAAATTTGGTCAAAATCCTTCTATTGGTTGAGAAGAAGAAGATTTTTAAAGATTTACCTATTTTCCCCCTATTTGGCCCCGCCCCTCTGCCCCCAGGGGGGTTATACCCTCCGTTTATACAAAACTGAGAACCCTTTGGCCAATGATGCTCCTGACCAAATTTGGTCAAAATCCTCTGAGCCATTCAGGACAAGTAGCATTTTAAAGGAAAAAGTTGACGGACGCCGGACGCCGGACGACGGATGCTGCACCATGGAATAAGCTCACTTGGCCCTTCGGGCCAGGTGAGCTAAAAATAATTTGCTATGTTTTCCCTATTTGGCCCCGCCCCTCAGGCCCCTGGGGGGCCACACCAATGGTTTATACAAGATTGGTTCCCCTTCTCCCAAGGATGCTTTAGACCAAATATGGAACAAATATGGAACAGATCCTTTCATTTCCACAGGAATAGAAGGATTTGAAAGAATTTGTTATATTTCCCCTGTTTGACCCCGCCCCTCAGCCCCCAGGGGGGCCAGAGCTACGGTTTATACAAAACTGGTTCCCCTTCACCCAAGAATGCTACAGACAAAATATGGAACAAATCCTTTCATTTCCACAGGAATAGAAGGATTTGAAAGAATTTGTTATATTTCCCCTGTTTGGCCCCGCCCTCAGCCCCCAGGGGGGCCAGAGCTACGGTTTATACAAAACTGGTTCCCCTTCACCCAAGAATGCGACAGACCAAATATGGAACAAATCCTTTCATTCCTACAGAAGAAGAAGGATTTTAAAGAATTTGCTATATTTCCCCAATTGGGCCCCACCCCTCAGGCCCCAGGGGGGCCAGACCCACCATTTATACAACATTTGTTCCCTTTCCCCCAAGGATGCTTTTGACCAAATTTGGTCAAAATCTGCTCAGTCGGTCATGACAAGTAGCGTTTTAAAGGAAAAGTTGACGGACGGACGACGGAAGCTGCGGTATGGCATAAGCTCACCAGGGTCCTTCGGACCAGGTGAGCTAAAATATAAGCAAATTCTTTAAGATCCTTCTTTTCTGTAGGAATGAAAGGATTTATTCCATATCTGGTCTGAAGCAACCTTGTGTGAAGGGGAACAAATTTTGTATAAACCGTGGGTGTGACCCCCAGGGGCCTGAGGGGCTGGGCCCAATAGGGGAGACATAGCAAATATATCAATATATCACCATAAACAATAGGTATATCAATAGTTTTAACAGCAGCAAGAAAAAGGTATTTAAACTGATTATTAAGACAGAAACGTTTTTCATGCTAATTAAATCTGTTGAAAACTTACGTAGGCTATCCAGGGCATCTTGCTGAAAGAGAATAAACAAGTACTGAATTTTGCAATACATTTCAACGTTTTTAAAATTAAACAAGTTACAGACAGTAGGGTTATGGTATTTGAACAAGACTTCGGGGATAATGGAACTAGAGACACCGGGGACATAGAGAACAGATTGGTGATAATGGAATTAGAGACACAGGGGACATAGAGAACAGATGGGTTTGGTGATAATGGAACTAAACACACAGGGGGCCTAGAGAACAGATGGGTTTCGGGGATAAAGGAACTAGAGACACAGGGGGCATAGAGAACAGAAGGGTTTCGGTGATAATGGAACTAGAGACACAGGGGGCCTAGAGAACAGATGGGTTTCGGGGATAATGGAACTAGAGACACAGGGGGCCTAGAGAACAGATGGGTTTGGTGATAATGGAACTAAACACACAGCTGACATAGAGAACAGATGAGTTTGGTGATAATGGAACTAAACACACAGGGGACATAGAGAACAGATGTGTTCGGGGATAATGGAACTAAACACACAGGGGACATAGAGCACAGATGGGTTCGGGGATAATGGAACTAAACACACAGGTGACATAGAGAACAGATGGGTTCGGGGATAATGGAACTAGAGACATAGGTGACATAGAGAACAGATGGGTTCAGGGATAATAGAGCTAGAGACACAGGGGACATAGAGAACAGAGGGGTTCAGGGATAATGGAACTAGAGACACAATAGAGAACAGATGGGTTCAGGGATAATAGAACTAGAGACACAGCTAGAGACACAGGGGACATAGAGAACAGATGGGTTTGGGGATAATGGAGCTAGAGACATAGGGGACATAGAGAACAGAGGGGTTTCGGGGATAATGGAACTAGAGACACAGGGGGCATAGAGAACAGATGGGTTTGGTGATAATGGAACTAAACACACAGTGGACATAGAGAACAGAGGGGTTTCGGGGATAATGGAGCTAGAGACATAGGGGACATAGAGAACAGATGGGTTTCGGGGATAATGGACCTAGAGACACAGGGGACATAGAGAACAGATGGGTTCAGGGATAATAGAGCTAGAGACACAGGGGACATAGAGAACAGAGGGGTTCGGGGATAATGGAACTAGAGACACAAGGGACATAGAGAACAGATGGGTTCGGGGATAATGGAACTAGGGACATAGGGGACATAGAGAACAGAAGGGATCGGGGATAATGGAACAAGAAACACAGGGGACATAGAGAACAGATGGGTTCGGGGATAATGGAACTAACCACATAGGATGGGTTTCGGGGATAATGGAACTAGAGACACAGGGAACATAGAGAACAGAGGGGTTTGGTGATAATGGAACTAAACACACAGCTGAATTAGAGATCAGATGGGTTTGGTGATAATGGAACTAAACACACAGCTGAATTAGAGATCAGATGGGTTTGGTGATAATGGAACTAAACACACAGCTGAATTAGAGATCAGATGGGTTTGGTGATAATGGAACTAAACACACAGCTGACATAGAGAACAGAAGGGATCGGGGATAATGGAACAAGAAACACAGGGGACATAGAGAACAGATGGGTTCGGGGATAATGGAACTAACCACATAGGATGGGTTTCGGGGATAATGGAACTAGAGACACAGGGAACATAGAGAACAGAGGGGTTTGGTGATAATGGAGCTAGAGACACAGGGGACATAGAGAACAGATGGGTTCAGGGATAATGGAACTAAACACATAGGGGACATAGAGAACAGATGGGTTCGGGGATAAACACACAGGGGGCCTAGAGAACAGATGGGTTTCGGGGATAATGGAGCTAGAGACATAGGGGACATACAGAACAGATGAGTTTGGTGATAATGGAACTAAACACACAGGGGACATAGAGAACAGATGTGTTCGGGGATAATGGAACTAAACACACAGGGGACATAGAGCACAGATGGGTTCGGGGATAATGGAACTAAACACACAGGTGACATAGAGAACAGATGGGTTCGGGGATAATGGAACTAGAGACATAGGTGACATAGAGAACAGATGGGTTCAGGGATAATAGAACTAGAGACACAGGGGACATAGAGAACGGAGGGGTTCAGGGATAATGGAACTAGAGACACAATAGAGAACAGATGGGTTCAGGGATAATAGAACTAGAGACACAGGGGACATAGAGAACGGAGGGGTTCAGGGATAATGGAACTAGAGACACAGGGGACATTGAGAACAGATGGGTTTGGTGATAATGGAACTAAACACACAGGGGGCCTAGAGAACAGATGGGTTTCGGGGATAATGGAGCTAGAGACATAGGGGACATAGAGAACAGATGGGTTCAGGGATAATGGAACTAAACACATAGGGGACATAGAGAACAGGTGGGTTCGGGGATAATGGAACTAAACACACAGGGGACAAAGAGAACAGATGGGTTCGGGGATAATGGAACTAGAGACACAGGGGGCCTAGAGAACAGATGGGTTTGGTGATAATGGAACTAAACACACAGGGGACATAGAGAACAGATGTGTTCGGGGATAATGGAACTAGAGACATAGGGGACATAGAGAACAGATGGGTTCAGGGATAATAGAACTAGAGACACAGGGGACATAGAGAACAGAGGGGTTCAGGGATAATGGAACTAGAGACACAGGGGACATAGAGAACAGATGGGTTTGGTGATAATGGAACTAAACACACAGTGGACATGGAGAACAGATGGGTTTGGTGATTATGGAACAAGAGACACAGGGGACATAGATAACAGATGGGTTCAGGGATAATGGAACTAAACACACAGGGGACAAAGAGAACAGATGGGTTTCGGGGATAATGGAACTAGAGACATTGGGGACATAGAGAACAGAGGGGTTTGGTGATAATGGAGCTAGAGACACAGGGGACATAGAGAACAGATGGGTTTCGGGGATAATGGAACTTAACACACAGGGGACATAGAGAACAGATGGGGTTGGGGATAATGTAACTAGAGACACAGGGGACATAGAGAACAGATCGGTTCGGGGATAATGGAACTAAACACACAGGGGACATAGAGAACAGAAGGGTTCCGGGATAATGGAACTAGAGACACCGGGGACATAGAGAACAGATGGGTTTCGGGGATAATGGAACTAGAGACACAAGAGACATAGAGAACAGAGGGGTTTGGGGATAATGGAGCTAGAGACATAGGGGACATACAGAACAGATGAGTTTGGTGATAATGGAACTCAACACACAGGGGACATAGAGAACAGAAGGGTTCCGGGATAATGGAACTAGAGACACCGGGGACATAGAGAACAGATGGGTTTGGGGATAATGGAGCTAGAGACATAGGGGACATACAGAACAGATGAGTTTGGTGATAATGGAACTCAACACACAGGGGACATAGAGAACAGAAGGGTTCCGGGATAATGGAACTAGAGATACAGGGGACATAGAGAACAGAAGGGTTCCGGGATAATGGACTAGAGACACAGGGGACATAGAGAACAGAAGGGTTCCGGGATAATGGAACTAGAGATACAGGGGACATAGAGAACAGAAGGGTTCCGGGATAATGGAACTAGAGATACAGGGGACATAGAGAACAGAAGGGTTTCGGGGATAATGGAGCTGGAGACACAGGGGACATAGAGAACAGAAGGGTTTCGGGGATAGTGGAGCTAGAGACACTGGGGACATAGAGAACAGAAGGGATTGGGGATAATGGAACTAGAGACACAAGAGACATAGAGAACAGAGGGGTTCAGGGATAATGGAACTAGAGACACAAGAGACATAGAGAACAGAGGGGTTTCGGGGATAATGGAGCTAGAGACATAGGGGACATACAGAACAGATGAGTTTGGTGATAATGGAACTCAACACACAGGGGACATAGAGAACAGAAGGGATCGGGGATAATGGACCTAGAGCCACAGGGGACATAGAGAACAGATGGGATTGGGGATAATGGAACTAGAAACACAGGGGACATAGAGAACAGATGGACAGAAGGGATCGGGGATAATGGAACTAGAGACACAGGGGACATAGAGAACAGAAGGGATCGGGGATAATGGAACTAGGGACACAGGAGACATAGAGAGCAGATGAGTTTTGTGATAATGGAACTAAACACACAGGGGACATAGAGAACAGATGGGTTTCGGGGATAATGGAACTTAACACACAGGGGACATAGAGAGCAGATGGGTTTGGGGGACAATGGAGCTAGAGACACAGGGGACATAGAGAACGGATGGGTTCGGGGATAATGGAACTAGAGACATAGGGGACATAGAGAGCAGATGGGTTTGGGGGATAATGGAGCTAGAGACACAGGGGACATAGAGAATAGATGGGTTCTGGGATAATGGAACTAAACACACAGGGGACATAGAGAACAGAGGGGTTTGGGGATAATGGAACTAGAGACATAGGGGATTTAGAGAACAGATGGGTTTGGTGATAATGGAACTAGAGACACAGGGGACATAGAGAACAGAAGGGATCGGGGATAATGAAACTAGAGACACAAGGGACATAGAGAACAGAGGGGTTCGTGGATAACGGAACTAGAGACATAGGGGACATAGAAAACAGATGGGTTCGGGGATAATGGAACAAGAGACACAGGGGACATAGAGAACAGAAGGGATCGGGGATAATGAAACTAGAGACACAAAGGACATAGAGAACAGAGGGGTTCAGGGATAATGGAACTAGAGACACAGGGGACATAGAGAACAGAAGGGATCGGGGATAATGAAACTAGAGACACAAAGGACATAGCGGGGATAATGGAACTAAACACATAGGGGACATAGATAACAGATGGGTTCGGGGATAATGGAACTAAACACACAGGGGACATAGAGAACAGATGGGTTTCGGGGATAATGGAGCTAGAGACACAGGGGACATAGAGAACAGATGGTTTTGGGGATAATGGAACTAGAGACATAGGGGACATAGCATAGAGAACAGATGGGTTTGGGGATAATGGAACTAGGGACATAGGGACAAAGAGAACAGATGGGTTTGGGGATAATGGAACTAGGGACATAGGGACATAGAGAACAGATGGGTTTGGGGATAATGGAACTAGGGACATAGGGACAAAGAGAACAGATGGGTTTGGGGATAATGGAACTAGGGACATAGGGACAAAGAGAACAGATGGGTTTGGGGATAATGGAACTAGGGACATAGGGACAAAGAGAACAGATGGGTTTGGGGATAATGGAACTAGGGACATAGGGACAAAGAGAACAGATGGGTTTGGGGATAATGGAACTAGGGACATAGGGACAAAGAGAACAGATGGGTTTGGGGATAATGGAACTAGGGACATAGGGACAAAGAGAACAGATGGGTTTGGGGATAATGGAACTAGGGACATAGGGACAAAGAGAACAGATGGGTTTGGGGATAATGGAACTAGAGACACAGGGAACATAGAGAACAGAAGGGATCGGGGATAATGAAACTAGAGACACAAAGGACATAGAGAACAGAGGGGTTCAGGGATAATGGAACTAGAGACATAGGGGACATAGCATAGAGAACAGATGGGTTTGGGGATAATGGAACTAGGGACATAGGGACAAAGAGAACAGATGGGTTTGGGGATAATGGAACTAGAGACACAGGGAACATAGAGAACAGAAGGGATCGGGGATAATGAAACTAGAGACACAAGGGACATAGAGAACAGAGGGGTTCGGGGATAATGGAACTAGAGACATTGGGGACATAGAGAACAGAGGGGTTCGGGGATAATGGAACTAGAGACATTGGGGACATAGAGAACAGAGGGGTTCGGGGATAATGGAACTAGAGACACTGGGGACATAGAGAACAGATGGGTTCGGGGATGATGGAACTAAACACACAGGGGACATAGAGAACAGATGGGTTTCGGGATAATGCAACTAGAGACACAGGGGACATAGAGAACAGATGGGTTTGGTGATAACGGAACTAGAGACACAGGGGACATAGAGAACAGATGGGTTTGGGGATAATGGAACTAGGGACATAGGGGACATAGAGAACAGATGGGTT